CATGCACAGCAGCAAAACTTTCAGGCAATATAAAACAAGAAGAAAAAAGAAACCAGAAAAGCAAAGAGAAAAATCAAGACTGTATCAAGATTACACAGAGCACTTACAAGAAATTTTGAGAATTCCTCGTAGTTGCTGAGAGAAGTAGCTGACTGAGGTGATACAGATATATTAGCCCTTCCAAGGTCTTAAAAGAAAAATTCTACAATGCTGCATCTGTATCTGTATTTTAAAATAGTAAATAAGCCACTCGGGAGTGGCTTCGTGTATATTTTGGGAATGGGGTATGACAGATGAGTCATTAGAGTCAACACTGTTTGTTTATATCGACACTGATGAAGAGAGTTAAGAGCTAGTTGTTTATTTTGTGTACCCCTAAAGTTTGATCTTTTAAATTGAACCTGGAAACACTGCCATACCACAGGAATTTCTATTTACTCATTGCAAATGAACTTCCATTGGATTCCGTTAAAGGAAGCAACTCTACGGCTAGGCACAACTAAACAGAGGCAGAGGGAGGTGTCCTAGATCCCCTTAGCTTTGTATTTTTGGTCTGCTAAAATAAATACCCTATTGAGGTACACTTTAATAGTAGAAATAGCCTGTTTGGAATAATAACCAACCAAGTACAGGGCAAAACCTCCCACAACTGTGCCTAACTTCCCGTTAGGTTACAGCTGAGGATTCCTTACAGCTTCGTCTGCTAAGATAAATCAAAAGTCAAACCCAAAACCTTGACAATACTGTATAGGAAATGCAATACTTCACATTTCTTGCAAAAAAAAAATAAATCCAATTTTTAATATATTCATTCTTCAATATACTCTGGTAAGAACATTTCTACATACCGATGCTTCCAACTGTTCAGCTTTCAGGCTGGTCTTTTTTACAGTCCATTTACAAATACAACAGTAATAGATCTGTAAATAGTTGCTAACTTGTACAGCATAGTGTACGCAACAGTTGGGGAAAAAAAAAAATCCATCACCAACAATGAGAAAGTAATACAAATTTAGCATACTGATTCAAACATCCAATGAGCAATTTTTCGTTTGCTTGTTGGTACTCTCTTCCCCCAGCCGAAGTTAGTAAAGGTCAATCCTTTAAAAGACTTAGTGCCTCTGAACAGCTAGCATCACTGAACAGCAACGAATGCCAGCAAGAGTTACGCTATTCATAACAAGCACCAATCACATAATCTAATAATTAGTTCCAATGAGAGAACAAGTAAAAATTTCATTTACTTAACATCACGTTCTGAATATATTCCAGTTCTGCCTATGAGAATAGCAAAAAAAATATTTCAGAACAAATGAGATCTTTCCCTCAGGTGTATATACCAAGAACCACAGGAAGCCATGCTTCGCTTTCCTCTAGATTTACTTGAGCATTATCACAAACTCTTCTGCAGAATGATGGGCCTAACTGCTTCATGGTACAGTTAAACTCCAAAGTAGCAAAAAAAAAAACCAACCCCAGATTATTCTCCCCAGAAATTAAGAATTGTTTTCTTACAAACTGCATTTTTATCACTAGCGGATTAATTTTAAAAAGATAGACACACAGACATATACTTACAGTACCTTTAATTCAAGCCTATCAGTGCATTTTTAAAATAAATTAATATATATTTCACCTGTTGTAGAATTAAAACTACTCAGTTTTTAGGATTTTGAAGCAGAAAAAAAATTTATATTTTCTAATTACAACACAAAAATTTAGTTTAAAAAACATTCAGAAAAATCAAAGAAACAAAAGCTACCTCGGGCTGAATTTACTTTCTTATTCTTATGACTAGAGCAGAAAAATCACATTTTGAAGAATTCTAATGTTCATCCTCCAGAAAGGCTGATTAGAAGTGAAAAAGTTATTTTAACTTTTGAAAATTAAATAAACCTATTTCCAACAAAAACAAAGCAGCTTTTTCAATAAATATTTAGAAACCAGCATCTTCTGTCCTCCTCCTCTTAACAAATCTCCAAAGTAATTACTCTCTTATCAAAAATCCTTCAGTAGACAGTCAAGTTATAGTATTAACAACTTCACAAACTTAAAAAAATCAAAGTAACTGAAAAACAAAAATGCGAAGATGCTAAGCCAAAATTGGATTTATATACACATAAGCACGCGTATGCCTACATACGTAGGTTATGGCTATAAATTCATATATATACACACATGTGTACACAGGCATATAGCTTACAACTTGAAATTCATAGACAACACAGTTATGAATTTCTGGGGACTTTAATACATACAATACACAACTAAATTGAAAAGACTCGGGGCATAAAAAGACATGTTCCAGCTGATTTAGTTGGAGCCGGTTAAGAATTTATAATCAGTAGCTGTTGATGTTCATTGAGCCGTGTGAGACACCAAGCAAGCACTCATAGTCCATTTCAACACAAAATCATAGCTCAAGATGGCTTAACTTAAGTGGCATAATTTTGCAGTGAAACAGACTTAGAGTATATACACAGTCCCCACGCCATCTGCACCACCAGCAGCCTCCAGAAGAGGTGCGGAAAGTACTGAATCTGGCAGCCAGATCTGCGAGAGCTTTCAATCTTTCTCCTCTCAACGACTGACCTCAACTCTTTCTGCTTTGTACCCACTATCACAGAGGGTTTCCCCCCTAGATGTTTGCCCCTCCAGCACTGTTCTTTCATTTTCATTTGGCTTTACCCTTTATCTAGTTACTACTCCGGAAACATTCTTCAGTAAGTTGACTACTGGCCCTGTCACGCATCCTTTCCCTTCTCAAGTCATCTTCTCAGATTACAAAGAGAAGTATTGTTTAAAATCATATCATTACTTTAAGAACACCTTGATCATTTCATAGCCTCAGTACTGAAGTTTTTAAAAGTGTGTGGTAACTCTCACACAAGTGTTCTCTAAGCTACAGTTTTAACCAGAAGAAGTGATAAATCCATCACAGAAATAAAGATCAATCATGAGTCACTTGGAAAACGTAACTTCTACTAAACATGTTACATTATAAGAACTTTTTATTTTTTTTAATGTAGGAGGAAAACATCCGACACAATGGTTAACTCAGAAGAAAAAAAAAAAAAAAAAAAAAGGGCAGACAGAAAAAATCCAAGTCAACACAAAAGCACCCAAATTCTTCTAAAGAATCTAACCAGATAATTATCCAGGAGAAAGGGAATGGTAAGTTTAAGAATTCAACACTCAAATATAAAAAAACAGGACACCCAATTATTTTAAATCAATCATAAACATTAGAACTTTGCAAAATAGAAACTGGTATGCTTACCTAGCATACGAATGTACAACGCAGTCTGATCAGAGCTGTCATAGGAAATTGCTCCACGTCTCTGTAAAAAAAAAAGTAGTCTATTTTATGCAAATTAGGAATAAATAATTTTTAAATCGAAATGAAAATAAAGTACCAATTGCCCATTTCCAATTTAACTTTCAAAATTAATTTTGGAAATCTGAAAATGCATTTTTCAAATATATATATATATATATATATATATATATACACACACTGTTTTTGTTTTAGGCGGGGACAAAGGAAGGACAGGAATTGGTAATGAAGAGATCATGAAAAACAACCGGGGCGAGAAAAAAATATCCCACCTAAATTTCTTTCCAGGTGCTCCTCCATCATTCCTCACAATAAAAAAGACACAACGCAAAATTAAGCAGACACAAAAAACCCACGTGCTCCTGGTTGCCTTCTAAAATGTAATACTAAACAAACAAATAAACCAGGAACTGCAAGTATTTGTTTTCTTTTGCCTATGGGGTATTTCCATCTTTCAAAGCTAAAAGTAGTTTTAAAAGAACTAAAAGAACTCATATGACACCATTACTGCAGTCCTAGGAATTCAACCTATATTCTGCAAGGGCAGGACTTGCCAGCCACACGCTCCTCTCATTCCACCGAGTACTTTCTGTAGGCAAATCAAGGTACCACTGAAGCAGGATGTAATACATAAGGGTATTATAAAGAAAATAAGCAAGTGGAATTTCACTTGATGATAAAAGTCTAAAAGAGTCATCAAGCTACCTATGCACGACATTGAGATACTCCCATATAGGCTGCATTTCTTACCTACACAAAATATGTATGTTCCATACCTAATCAGCTAATGCGATAATAGTTATAATCCAGGAAGTCTCCCACGAGTGTGGTGAAGTGGTCTTTTAATAGCTAAAAACTGGAGGAACGTTCTCATAGTTACACAACACTGGCATCACGTAGTCTTTAAAGCTTGGCACAACCTAGCACCCAGCCTCATGCCTTGCCTTTATTGTACTGTCACCATCTCCTGCCACTTCCTAGGGCCTTCATTAATGTTATTTCTTAACCCTAGGATCAGAGGATCACCTTCACCATCAGACTTCAATTTTACCAGTTCACAACATCTGTTCTTTGAAGAAATAAGATTTTGCGTGTGTGTGTGTACGCATTAAAAGCTCCTATGACCTTTCTGTGTCTACCACACTTCTACTTTACACTGGAGATAGAGAAGACCTTGGTGCCACAAAGGGTTATCCTACCCCTTTGAGAACTTCAGACAAAAGCCAACCTGGAGGTGAACAGTCACCCACTTTTACCTCTATGTAGAAGGAACAACCCTACACCAGGGACACACAACAGCCTGAAAATGCACAAGTTCAAAAGATGGGAAACCAAATCATGTTAGGAAACAGGACAGAAAAATAGATGTTGGACTTTGACAAGAATTCTAAATGAAAGAAAGAGATAAAGAAACAAATTACTTGGAAATGAGGGAAAAGGCAAAATTGCTTATAAATATCTATCAACAGAGCAAATTCAATGCACATAAAGACTAGAGATTAATAACTTCTATCAGCACGATTTATACAAATGATGTGTTGACTCCAAACCCAGAAGTTACACTTAATTGTTCCAGTATTTTTCTTGTTAAAACAAGAAAAAAACCCCACTTACACTTCAAGTCATAAAAGTTTTTCTGAAGTTAAGCTTAATATTTAATTACAGAAACGACCAAAGACCAACCTAGCTCCAAATGGGGTCCAATTATAGTAGCTGTTGTAAAGACTACAAGGAAGAACTCCCTGTACAGCACTTTTATGTTGTCTTAGCTTTTGTTCTATATTTTCTTGGAAGACCATAAACCATGCAAATAATCCTTCCCTTGAAATATGGTTGTACAGCATTTCTCACAGCAGTGTGCCTGTCCTGATGAGAAAGGCAGCAATACATCTCATCAGCCAGAAAATGATGCTGATTTCTCATTAACGTTTTCAAATTTCTTCATATAACCTACCTTTGAGTTGCAGCAAATCTCAGTTGAATATATTTTCAGTAGCCTGGAACATTTCATATCACTGACCAGGCACAATGAGTGATGTAGTTTAGTGCTAACTTGCAATTTGCACCTGTCTATCACAGATTTCTGGACATGTCCAGTACAGTTCTGTAATCTAATACAGGAGAAAGCTAAGCACACATGCAGCTAGAAGAACCATGCCCAAATGGAGAATCAGTCTCCAAGAAGGAAAACAATACGCGAAAGTTTACTGAAAAGTAAATCCTTTTTGATATGTTGATTCTAAAATATCACTTGCTCTCTAAAATCTAAAATGTTATTTGCTAGATACAGTACATCCATGTATTATATCAAACACAAAGCACATTTTTAAAACCATAAACCAATTGCTTATACGTTAGTGATTTTGTTCTGCAAGGACTCCGAAAGATCTCGTAGGAATCTTTGAGCAATCAAATCCTTTTAAAATTACTTTTAAAAGTTTGGTTTCCCAAAGAAAAAAGAGACGATTTATTGTGTAAACCTTACTAATAATACTTCAAAAGTAGTAGAACAATTTCAGCTAATTTTGCTAAAAGGGTAGAGGTCCTAAACATGCTTCATTCATTGAAATTTGTTAAATAAGGCAGATAAGACAAAAACTTATTAGCAACTTCCACCAAGGGGCAGACACAGGGTTGGTGACGAGTGGTCAGACCTCACACCTTTATCCCAAGCAAATGAGGTACGGATAGTTAGGAGCACTGTGGTGAGCAGTCAGAGACAGAGGAGGCAGCTAATGATACTGAAGTTTTTAGCAACTTGTGATAGGTAGGGAAATTAAATAATACTACGCTCACTCAGCCGTGGATTGCTTTGTGTCAGCTCACACTCCAAACAGGTAACAGACCATGTACCACGGGTTGAGGTATAGCAGCTATTTTCCCACTTCAAATAATATTGTATGCATATTAGTTATACTACCCCCATCCTACCCTACAAAAACGCAAGAAAAAAGGCGAAAAAAGGCAAAAAAAGAGAAGCAATTTAATCCACCCTGCCTGCGGTTCTTTAAGATACTCTGCCCAGATTCCACTTTTTAAATCCAGCAAAAAGAAAGACCAGATTTAATGCATCAGCTTCTACTGATATGTGAACTGTCATGTGCAGCAATTTTGTAAGCAGAAAGGCAAATACATCTTGAAGAACTAAAGTTCCCGTGAAGTACTCAACAGTTCAAACGATTTAATCACCAGGATTCTGCCCTTGGTGACAGCCAAAAACGCCTCCACCCTCATTGCTAATCAAAGGCCCACTCTCTGTAGCCTACACCAAGACATCAAGACTATACTTACACTAAAAGTTTACCTTACTTACACAGCTGAGATGACTGTAGCACACACTGTATCAGCCTACAGAAACCTCGGCTAAAAACTTCATGGACAGAGCTTGACTTCTGGCAATTCAAAATACCATGTTATTGTTAATATTGTTAACTCGTTTAGCATAAAATTTTATTTCTAGATCTCTGCCACCTCTTTGGTCTACCTGAAGCTTTGCACATGTTAACTGTAAAGCATATTGAACTCCTTAACCCTCTGTACAAATCTCAAACAAAGAAGCAGCATTCCAACAGGGAGACAGAATTAGTAGTGCTCAAACTGAAGACAATCCTAACTGTGTTTAGGAAGGTTCCATTTCCAAGCACAAGGACAACTTGGTCTGGTGGGAATATCTGCTGGACTCCAAGTGATTCAACAAATTCTTCAAATGATTAGGTGAGGTTCTTACCACTCTGCTCCTTTCCAGACATGAGCACGGCCGTCTGAACTGGGTGGGCTGTTTTGCTTCAGCAGCAAAGGCAGATGTCAGCAAGATGGCTGAGAAGGATTGTTTACCCTAGACTTCTACTTTGAAAACCTCACCTTAAATTTCAGTTTCATATTAGAACTTCACTTATTCTTCCAAATGGCAATACAGGAAGAAAAGCTTTTATTTCTCCTCTCTTTTGTCACATCTTTATAGAAAAATCAATGGAAGAAGTTCAAACTAAAGTGGCAGATCCTTTAAGAACAACAATGATGCAAGTACTCCACAAAAACAGGCAAAGGGAGCATCTAACAAAAGAGAGATTTAAGTCAGATCTTTCTGCAGATCTTTTCACAGGAGTATAGGAAGTTATTAAAGGCCATGCAATGGGAATGACGTGCCAAAATAGCACATAGATATATCTTCAAAGGGAAGCCGCTCCAGTGATGCTCGGGAGTACAGCATATGCATGTAACACTTGGAAACACAGCACCTGCTGCTGTTTGTGCCAAACAGAAACGTTTCCACTGACGTATCAGTTTTACCACAAGGACTTCCCAATCCAGTTCAGAGCAGAGCACCAGCATGACTGTTGGGCACTTCATTCTGGCAAGCGCCAGCTTTTGGACCGTCAAGGGAAACAACTGCTAGCCTTATTTTGTAACAGCAGAAAGAAATGGGTAGAGCTCCCGGCCTTTAAAATTTAGTGCCCCCCATCAGAAAGAACCACCTGTGCTTTTTTGATGGAGCCCACGACCCTCAATTTGTGACTCCCTGTTTATTCGGAAGCTGGGAAAGGACCAGAGGACTGCAACACAGCCAGTCAGGTATTTTTACCTATTTGGCTTTTCTGCCCAAGTTATTGCCCAACAATCAAAGGATTATTTTGAGAAAGAGAAACTGAGAACAAGTTTGGAGAAGTTGTTATATCATGGCAACTGCAATTTATTCCTTATGCTGCCTCAAATATACACACTTGAAAACTATTTAAGATTCTAAGACAGTTTATCAACTAGAAGTCCCTGGACTGTCATTTATCATAATTCTTAAAATTATTTCAAGTAATTAAAAGTTCCACGCTTACGCAAGATCCACAGTTTTCCACAAGGCATCACCAAGTTTTTACTCACTAAAGCACTGGAAAATATTCTTTTAAAGCACTTAAGATACCGTCCTTGAACTCAGACAAGACACTGGAAACCAGTCCTACTACTATTTTATAAATATTGCACTGGAGCTCAAAGCAGTGTTTTGAAGGTTTATCAAAACAGTGATAAAGTGTAGTTAATTTCAGGAAAGCAACACTAATCAGCAGTAAGACACATACTCCTCCTTCAAATATCTGAATGCGGCAATTTTGATGTTTTCTTCCATATAAAGCTGTTTCACATGATCGTTTCCCAAGACAGATGGCAATCATTTATAAACTTAGCTATTGTTCAAATGATAGTTACCAGCGTTAGTGATACATACATCTAACAAGCACCTGGAAGGCATTTCTCTTATAGACCTTAGAGGTATATCATGTGGCATCATAAGATTTACCCAAAGTTTTATCAACATAAAAACCTCGAGATTTAACAACAATATACAAAACAAAAGCTTCAAAATTGATCAGAAAAGAAAGTATAGCCGAAAAATAAGCACCATTGACTTAGATGAGCGCAGAAAACACACAGGTATTACCTTTAGAAACTAAATCAGAATGACAGAATGACTCAAAAGCAACAACAAAATAGGATAACTGGATGAACACACACAAAAAAAATATCTTTAAAAGAAACAACCATTAGCACATTTAAAAACACAACCGCAAATAGCAGAGGTTTTTATGCTTAACCGTATTATGTCAGCTACCTGGAATTTGTATTCTTCCCACCTTAACAGAATCTTTGACCAAACTGAATTACAGACGTAATATTTAAAGATGCTTTTTATGTCGATTTTCAGAGAACCAGCAATTCAACATTATATCAGTAAAATGCAGATGATGTACTAGCGTAGCACACTGGCTGTAAAACTTGGGCATTTAGAATCTGCCTTCATTCACAAGTGAACATCCATTAGGGTATCCTGGTCTTTTTCTTGATGTGACAAAAGTTATCACAAGTGCTAGCAACTAATCCTGACCGTATTTGCTTTTAGTAAATTTAGAACTGTATTATCAGCAATGACTGAAGCACAGATACCTAGCAAAGCTTGTTTTCACAACAAATTCATGTTTTTTAGATTCTCCTGTTAATTGTGTATTAATAAAAAAATCTATATATAAATGCATGAACTTTGATTTATTTTTTTTCCCAGTTTCCCTCATTTTCTCCAATAATTCTAGCCCTCTTCACAATCCTAAACTTAAATTTATTCCTCCTTTTGGAATTAATTCCAGGTTAGGCAGCGAGCTGTGCTGAGAAGAGCCTGGTCTCATCTCCAGTCACCAATCCCACCTATATTTACTACCAACAAAATATACATTATGGGGATACTTATGTTGTTTAGAATGACTGAGTAGGAACTCCTAATTTTGTCTAACATTAGCACCCATTTTTCAAAACCCAGGCATCTCAAATGGAAAGGCTACAAAGTAAGTGAAGTAGCTGGTATTTCACCTAAGTAAACAAAACTGGTATTTCCACTCCCGCAGCCCTGAAATCAACAATACAAAAAGGATATCCTGTCCAGGAAGCAAAATACACTAATTTGTATTATTCTCACTATGTTTAAAATTCTTTTTCCTTATTTTCACAAAGCCTTTAGAACGCTATAAAACCGAAGGCCTGTCAGTGAAGGCGGCAAGCGAAGCCCTGCCATTC